GACGTCTACTGAAAGGTAGCAACTGGAAGGATAGATCACTTGTCTAGTGATCTTACGGCCATGAAAACGAAGTTGGGCTGGACCGTTGAGGGTACCGTGGAACGCGAGAGAAGTTCAGCATACACAAGCGCTCTATTCCTGTATATATTGTAGCACGAAGTTTGTTCCTAACGGTGATCTTTCTGCATTTTGGCGTCTCAGCGTCATGGGGATAAAGACGCCTGCGGAGAAAAGTAGCAAGGCTCCACCAGAACTTGAGGCGTCTCAAGAGAGCATCATCCAGTTTGACGGCTGCTACAAGGTTCCACTAAAATCACAAGTTTTAGGTAGACATTCAGGCAGCAATCATCGAAGATTGGGAGAAGGCTATCCACAAGTGCAATTGAACGGGTTCAAGAAACGTTCAGAACTGTACAGACAACGTGTAAGGCAATCACAGCGGCGTTTAGCAAAAACAGACAAAGCGATTGGAAATATCAGAGGCTAGGCCCGTGTACTCAGATTTGGGTGCACGTTAAAGAACCCCAGGTGGTCAAAATTCCCGGAGCCCTCCACTACGGCGTCTCTCATAATCAAATGGTGGTTTTGGGACGTTAAACCCCACAAATCAATCAATCAAATATCAGAGGCACAAGACGATGGCTATCATGCGACTCATCATGCAGTCATTCATCAAAATGCTGTCACGCCAAGGCTTCGTGCTGTGTCGGACGCCTCAACGCACGAGCTAGGTCACGCCTGCCACAACGATGGCCTGCTGAAGGGTTTAAAGCTCAACGCTGATGTTATGCAGTTGCTGCTTGTCTTCAAGAGCCAACCAGTAGTCAAGTGGAATTTCACACTAGATCAGCAAATCACTATGGCGCATGATAAGAAAGACCTTTACTATGACGCATATTCCATTCAGCAACTAAACTCTTTTCATGATAAAGACCAGTTATCATTACTTCATCTGAACTCGCAAAGCTTACGAAATAAAAAAGTAACCATTGACATACTGCTCGACCTCATAAAACATAAACTTGATTTCTTTGCCTATACTGAGTTTTGGTTCACGAGCTGTGAAGACGTTGTATTCTTTACAGGCTACAATTGCGTCAGTCTGTAGAAAGAGCAAGCGAGGTGGTAGTGTGGCAATTTATATCAACGATAGCCGTACATTTGTTGTCATCAAAGAATATGCAGTTACAACTTGTACTTTTGAATCTGTGATGGTGAGGTCGGCAAATTTTTTCTAGTAGTAATATATAGGCCTCCTTCCAGAACTGTGCCAGCCTTCTTATACTTTGTTTGGGAGTTATTAGAATTTTTTGAACGACAAAATGCACGAGCGATTGTAACGGGTGATTTCAACATTGACGTGTTGGCTACCTCTGCTAACAAGCAAAACCTTCTTGACACAATGCTCTGTTTTCGCTATGAGAACGAAATTCACGTGCCTACTCGGATGATAGAAGTATCTGAAACCCTCCTTGACCTGTGCTTCACCAACATTAAAATTGAAATATGTGCTAGAGTTGTTATACCCAGTGTTAGTGACCACTTCCAGATTTTCGCATTCAAAAAGTCACATAAAACAAAGCGTAAGAAAACCAACCCTACTTACTACAGAAAAATTACCACTGAGAAAATTCAGACCTTTCAAAAATTAGATGCTGCGGCAGATTTCAGTGAAGTATTACAAATCACAGAACCTGTAGGAGCTTACGAAACATTTGCGTTGAAAATAACGCATATAGTACTGCTCAAAACGAACAAAAAAGCTAGGAAACCATGGATATATGCGTCACTTCTAAAGAGAATAAAACAAAGGGATAACCCATTTCACAATTTCTTTAAAACAAAGCAAATCGACTATTTACGGCAGTTTAACAGTTTAGAAATCAATGAGGGTCTTATATAAAGCAGGACACGCATACAATATTATGAATGTAAGTTTTCTGCTATTTTAAATGACCAGAAGGTTGTTTGGAATACTATGAACGGTCTTTTATTTTCATCGGGTAAAAAACCATCACCAAGCTTATGATAGAAGACAAACCTAGTTCCGGTACATCACTCGCTGATAAGTTCAACTGTCATGTCTTGAAATCGGGTGCTTGTAAACCTCCGCTAACAACAAAGTAGGCTTTGAATCAAGAACGTACATTACAAAATGTCATACAAAATCACTCTCTTTGGCCCCCACTGATGAATCTGAAGTACAATATTTTCTTATTAATTTACATAACAACTCTGCGTTAGGTGTTGATGGTACAAAAACAGGGCCATTAAAAGCAGTCTGATATTATATTAGTCTGCCCCTCTCACACATATGTAATTTGATTTTAAGCACCGGATTATTTCCTGATAAGCTAAAGATAGCCAGAGTCTCGATCATTCACAAAAGTGGTAATAAAAATGATTTAAATAAATATAGACCTATATCTGTCTTGCCTATATTTACAAAAATTATAGAACGAGTTTTATACTTTCGAATCTCAAATTTTTGTAACCAAGAAAATATAATAACAAAACAGCAGTACGGTTTTCGGATGAAAAAAAGTACAAAGCGGGCTTTGCTGTCCATCAAGGACAAAATAATAGATAATTTTGAGCAGAGATCTTATACGCTTAGAATATTCCTTGATTTCAAAAAGTCTTTTGATTCGATCAAACATAAAATACTCCTGGTGAAATTAAACAAATACGGCATAAGGGGTGTTTCACTCAAATTATCAGACAGTTACTTAACAAATCTATTTCTCTATTGTGATACGCATCATGCAGTATCTAAAATGGATAAAATTTAGGTACGGCGTCCCTCAAGGATCTATACTAGGCCCACTCCTGTTCCTCTTATATATCAATGATATTGTTAATATACCACTAACCCCCGACATGGTTCTACACGCAGATGACACGAACGTTTTTTTCTCTGGCAAAGACATCAACAGCTTGGAGGAGCCAGCAAAGAAATGGCTTAAGCACTTATCAATGTGGTTGATAGCAAATACGATTGAGCCAAACACCAAAAAAACAAAATATGTTATTTTTTACCAAAAAAATAAAACTATACCCCGTGACATCCGAGTGAAGTTTCGAGGGGAATCGATTGAGCGGGTCACATCCCAAAAATTTCTCGGTATCATTTTTCCTAAAACACTCGACTGGACATATCAATCAATTGGTGTTTTGGGAAAATCAGTGTTTTTTGCCAATTTGGATAACGAAGCAACTGTACTAATCCTTTGTTTACTCGCGTATAAATTACTGTTTATTATTATGGGGTAACACTACAAATACAAACAAAGAATGTGTTTATAAACTACAGAAAAGAATAGTTTACATAATTGAAGGGGTTCGACCTAGAACACATTGCACTCCACTTTTCAACAAACACGACTTATCAAAGTTTGAAAACATCCTAAATAAAAAACTAGCCATGATCATATGGGATAAATTGAAATCTGATCCAGTCGCTTTTAACCACTAAGCCACGAAATAGCACCTTCTTCAACGTTAAAACGGCAAGATATCTATATCTACCATTTACAGTTGCCAATGGCCATCTCAGGAAAACTGTAGTATTTTCAGCACTACTAGCAAGATGGTGCCATGAGCGCGAACTTCATCATAGTCATAACGCAGCGGCGCACGCTCTCATCTCCCACGCGTAGTTTTCAACGTGGAGAAGAGGGGAGTGGACGCTCATGCGCGCGCCCTTATCTCGCGCTGCGGAGAGTCGTACGCCTTGGGCTCTCTCCAGAACGCTTGTGTTCTAGTTACCGGGCGCACAAAGGTCACTACACTCGTTCAACAGTCTCCGTTTTTGAAGAGGGTGCACTTTTCAGACAGAGCGAAGTAACAACTGATACCAATATTCGTGAGTACGTTTCGTGCGTCACGTTTTGATATGCTTGTCATTCTGCGCGTGACCTTCCGATTTGTTGCTATCACAGTCATTTCTTCGCTTACGCAGCAAACCTGTGACTTTTTAAGATGTTCACCGACCGGGGAGAAATTTAGCCTGCACGATTATACCCGTTGAACACTGTACATCGTTTCTCTTTGGTCTTATAGAGGTCAGTCTATTAGCTCGTGTGCTGCCTTTTTCAATCATGGCAAAAAAATAAAACACATTTGATTGCGCCGATTCTACAGTGGGCATATCTCTAGACATGCTGTATAATAAGAGAGACCGTATTCTGCAAATCGTGCGAGACAAAGGACAATTGTATAGATGTTTAACTGTTGGCTCCTTTGTACCATCAAAACTGAAATATTTCTTACTTTTTTGTAGGCATAGATCGTGCATGCACTTATTTTCATATATGTTAAATATACTATGCCTATACTTACGACGTTAGAGGCCAAAAACATGTTTTCCTGTCTATTTGCGGGCGTTGGAACATTTTTTGCGTGCGTTGAACCGTAATAATACAAAATGCCAAAGTAGTATGCATTCTAACCTTCGCATAAGAACCTATGTAACGTCCACACTAAATGCAAGCAAAAAATAGTTGTATTGAAACAGTTTACAGGAGGTTATGCTACAGAAGAATAGGCTCCAATCAGTCCAGATTTATTTCGCCGGTAATGTGCGCCAGTCAATAACGCGCGCAGGATGATTTTTTCACTGATTGTTTGTTATGGCAATGACCACGTAGACTCAAAAAGTAAAATTAATGTCATCAGAAAGCAAATCAACTGATAATAGGCACCCAAGAACGCCACGCAAAATTAAAAGTTAACAGCATATATATTCTGCAAGATAGATTATTATATGTAATGACTATAAACGAATAGTATGTATATAAAATATTAGTCAAATTAAAGATAGTGTAGCAGACATGTTGCCATAAAATCACTGTTATTTCAATACAGATATTTGAATCCTGGTATAGTTAGGGATGCTTCATTATTACTTTAGGCATTCAATTAAATTTTCTTGTCTACGTGCTTAGATATTTTCACTCGGGAGCCAAGTAAAATGAATCAAAATTTTAGGTCATACTCACGAAAACCTTCCACTCCTAATACGTCAAATATACCACACGTGTAATTTGCGTAGACGCTCACCAGCTCTTCTGTCGATGTAACAAAGCCATCTATTGCAAATAAAGCAGAAAAAAAAGAATTTTAAGAAGCTTTTGTACGAGTTGCCATGGATCATTGCACAACTACATAAACTTTTGTAATGAATGGTGGCACTCCACATGTTTGCTTTTCTGCTTTTCTGACACATTTACTTCATTTGTAATGTAACAGCCATAGTGTAATTTCATCAGTACTTTAGATTTCGAAGTCACTATATGAGCCCCACATCTCCATTTATAAATCCTATAGCATACGATACATAGGCTAATATGTCTTTATGCAGTAATCCTTACAACTTCACTGCATCTTCCGTGTTTGGTATAAAACTGTATAGACTAATGAAAAAGAGCTAGTAATGGTTCATCTTAAAAATCCTCGTGAATGTTTTTCAAAGGAACAGGCGCGATGACGTCTTTGAAGACCTCATACTCTGCACCATTTAAACAGTCAGGTCCTGGTGATTTGCCTATATTTAGGTGGTGATCTACTTTTCTGATTCCACCCTCTAAAGAGGAATAAAATGTTTTGCTTGCTTTATTATTCTTGGTTTCACTGAAATGAATTCACTATTAAAATGATCAGTAAGGTCATTACTTGCTGCAAAAAAAAAAAAACACGCACACCAGATCCTACTAATTGGTATCATGCGTGGATGCGAAGCAGTGGGGAGATGTTGAACGACACCCATAGAAACTCGTTTTGGTTGCTTAGCCAGGTGCACCAACATACAGAACTTCTAACTTAGTAACGTTGGGAGTGTCCATCGAATGATACTAGTGGCCGCTGCTGGAAACACTGCTGTTGAACTACGCTGCCAGTGATCATTACTATAGCACTGTTAAACAGTCGGCCCCTCAACGCGAAAGGCAGAGATATCAAACGGAATCCCGTGCTAACCAAAGTAAACGCACCCTGCGTAACGGAACCGTGAAACCCCGCAAGGCCGACCATGAACGGCTACGACCAATACCATGGAGGACTTCCTCCATGAACAAAACAGACAACTTTGTCTCACGGAATGGTCTTCGCCCCCGGCTTGATAGAGAAAAAGGCAGCGTAGAAAAGGAGAGAAAGGGGAGGGAACAGTTTGCGCATTGGAGGAGCGGACGCTTCAGGCAAGAATGAACATAGCCCCGAGCAAAAGGTGCTTAGCGACTCATGACTTTTTGTAATATCGAACGAAACTCCACCTATCGCTTCTTTTCTACTGCGTGTTGCTCCTTTATGTTCTCTTACTTCAGTTTATTTTTGGGCCAGTGTCCTAATACCCTTTCTTCCAACAATTGGCGATTGTCTATTCTATCTAAAGCTTTTGACAGTTCTTTTCTTGGCACGTTGAAGCGGGGACACTCGCAGAGAAGATGGGAGAAAGTCTCTGCGCAGCCCTGGCCGAGACCGTCCTCTGCACACAAGGCATTGAGAGCGTTGTTGCGCTTTCTGCGGGCAAGTGGTCTTAGAGACAGACTGTAAACAGCGTCGTGGATCGTCTGATGTCCTTCTCTTTCTTTTTTTTACAACGTCTCTTTTCTATCATCCTTTATCCCCCTTACCCCCTTCCCCAGTAAAGGGTAGCCAGCTGGTCTGAGAACTGGCTAACCTCCCTGTCCTTCCTCATTTATTCCTCTTCCTGCCTCTTCCTTATTTTGCGGGGCATGTTTTTTTTCTGCTCCAAGAGCTCATTTTTCACAATGCTTCTGTGCACACTTGTTTTTCCTCTTCAGTCTTACGACTCACACCGCCGCCGACACTAATGCCAAGTGCGCCGACGTCACGCGCCGCTAAGGTTGTTCCGTAGCGTGTTTAGCAGCTCCCGGCTGTTCCTGCGAAGAGCTGATAGACGAGCGGAGAAGATGACGGTCAGTTAAAACAAGGTTCATGTAGAGCATAGAAATAGAGGCATTACATATTTGGCACTAGGGCTGATAGCTTAGGAACTTGAAGAGCCGAAATGTCTTCTCTCTGGCGCATACGTCGGCTGCTGCCCACGTGCCAATTGGCCCCGGGTGACCTCACCAACGTCCTCACTGACCTCACTTGCCTCACTTACCTCACCTCACTTACGTTGGTGAGGTAAGTGACCTCACTTACCTCCCCAACGTCCAATCAGAAGTGCCGCTGGCCGTGATGTCAGATTCCACCAGTCAGAAACCGCCCCTCGGTTGCACCCATGGACGAGAGATGTTGCAACGCATTGCGTAAGACTTGACTTACTGGACGGTGCCGCTTGCATCATCGGGCTGCTATCGGTCCCGTGCGTTGAGGGAGCTCGCCTTGCATTGCGTTAGACACACCGGCGCGTTGGGTAGATGACGTTGACGAAATGATGGCGTCAGGCCACCTCGTTGGCTCTCCTTGACACAGATTGCCTTTGCAGAGGCAATGACGTTCAGTCCGGACAGTCAGGCGTAACAGCAGTCCCTCACTCGCCTTCTATCTGTCTTCCCTTTTTAGATGCAAAGCACTTTACGAGCGATCATCAGTGATCCAGCAGCTTCAGCGCTCCACTGCACATGCATCCCCTCCTTTATCTACTCAGAAAGGCCCACCCCTCTCGCCTAGCAACACCAACGCAGGCAGCGCCTGCTTGCAAGTTTCTTGAATGAAACAAAATCGGCTGATGCCGCTGCACAACCATTTACTGTAGAGAGCCTACATGAACTCCGCAAAAGTGGCCATGTAGGCTCCCTAATTCAATATGGGCACTGATTCTTGACATCCAAGGTCATGCCAGTGGAAGATTTGTCGTGCGCGCTTTTGAACAATCACTATTCGTAGCATGCGTGTGCACTAAAACCGACTGCGAGTTTCTGTGTCTTATTGGAGTCTTTTGTGTGTCATTGCCCATTTTCAGTGATCTGCATGTTGCAGTACGAAACACTGGTCTATCACTGCGTGCTTTGCTCCTTCCCAAGTTTCTCTTCTGCGCAAAGCAGTGATAATTGCCAGCATGAACGCCGCTGCAAGCGTAAGGGTTAGCGCACGCTGCTTCACATCTACACATGGTACCCTTTAGCGAAAGATGGTCCAGCTTTTTCATTTCTTTTTAATTCTTTTTTTCTTAACTTCTTCCATTTTTTTCTTTTGATGATTTTCTTTTTTCTTTTTCCGCTTCTTCACCCTCACATCTGTCTTTCTCTCTCTCACTTTCCCCTTCACGTCGTTGATTTGTGGGGTTTAACGTCCCAAAACCACCATATGATTATGAGAGACGCCGTAGTGGAGGGCTCCGGAAATTTTGACCACCTGGGGTTCTTTAACGTGCACCCAAATCTGAGCACACGGGCCTCGACATTTCCGTTTCCTCCCCTTCACATCGTGGATTACGTTTTCATGTTGGTGAGAATTCGCTGCCAGAACTTTTCACTTGGTGCCGAGCTGCGACGGCCCGTTCTCCCAGCATCACAGCTTTCGTAAGCCGGAGTGCATTCAATATGGCTCCTCGTATTTGCCCTTGGTCGTTATAAGCATGTAATCGCAAAACCAAGCAGACCACTTGAGGTACTTGCGTGTGAAACACTTCGTCGTTTTGTCATTTCAAACCAGCAGAGCCTGATCTTGGGGCAGTTATTTGGCCCTGAGAACTTTTTCCGTCGGGTAAAGTCTCTTGTCAAGTGTGTTAAAAGCAACGAAGAAGACGTGATTCGCGGCAGAAAGTGCGCTGCTACACTGCTCATAGCGCAGGAGCCACCGATTAGTAGTGGACGGATGGATGAATTGGATGAATTGATATGGCTGTACCCTCTAGATGGGGCGGTGGCTAACGCCACCAAGCCGTACTACTTAGTGAACCAAAAACTAGTTTTTTTTTCTCTTTAAATAGTGAGGTTGAGGACTCATACTTTGCGGCTAAGGATTTAATTTTCACTCGTGCCTCTACTTTAGCCACCAATCTGATAACCTCCTTCTAGTTTATTCCACCCCCTTGAAGTTTATTTTGCCCTCCCTGTCCCTAAACCCCAGTGCTTTGAAAAACTCTGCACCATCGTCCTGAACTATATATAGGTTGAAGCCCTCTACAGAACATTATCAAGTGTTCGGCAGTTTCCTCTTCCTCTCCACACGCACTGCAAACCGTGTCTACCCCTTCATAATTGGCCCGATATGTCTTGGTCCGCAATACTCCCGTCTTATCCTCAAGCAGTAGAGAACTACCACGAGTATTATCACAGATCCTTTCCTTGGCAATTTCGTGCTTAAAAGTTCAATAGATCTGTAGTACTTTTGAATCATTCCGATTCTCCAAATGTCGGTCTCAGCTTCTTTCACCTTCTTCTTAACCGATAAGTGTTTTTGGTTTGGCCCCCTGCTGTTTTCTAAGTACTTACCAGTCAATTTCATAATTCGCTTCCTCCATTTTGTATCGAAATTCTACATGTACAAGTAGCTTAATACCTTCCTAGCCCAACGCTCCCCCCCCCCCCCATTTCTCTCAATCACTTCTCAAATTTTATCTTGCAGATAGCTTCCTTGCCCTCAAATGATGTCCATCGCATATCACCTTGTACTCCCTGATTTGATGTAGTCCCATGAGCTCCTAAGGCAAGCCTATCTATTCCACGTTGCTAAATTTCTAATCTTCCTTGAACTTCTGATCTTATGCACAAGACCGCATTGCCGAACCTCAGACCAGGAACCATGACCCCCTTTCATATTCCTCTCACAACCTCATACCTATTGTATTTTCACAGTTCCCTGTTTTTCATCACCGCTGCGTTCTTTTTACCTTTAGTCGTCACGTATATTTTGTGTTCCCTTAGGTACTCAGCCCCATTGCTTATCCATACGCCCCGATATTTGTATTTATCTGTTATCTCTAGCGTGACCTTTTGTGTTCTAAGCTCACTACCTTCATTATCATTAAAAATGAAATCTTAGAGAGTGGCAGTGCCGCTATGCGGTGATTCTACCACGTGATAGCACGCGCTCAGCACACTAGCCAGTATATTCTAGGCACCACAATAATGGCGAATATTTTCTATTGGACACTCAGTAACTTAAGGCAGAGAAGCTC